GACATGCTTCGTGTCTGGATGATATGTGGGATGTGTTGGACAAGCGTGCGTTCGCGCACACGCCGGCGGTGCATGGAGATGATTTATTTTCGGTATCTTCCACGAATGCTAGGAGTTCGTCTGCTGTTTCGCGTGCTGTAGCTTCATCGGCGTTGTGTTCGACGGTGACCGCTTCGTGGAGCCAAGGTTCTTCGGCCGCCGTGATGAGTGTTGACCCTCTACCTAATGATGATCGGGACCCTTTTATGTTGTACTACAGTGACTGGCCGTTGCAAGGACACTTCCAAGAGATGTACAACGTCGCTAGTGAGGTGGCTCTAACCAAGAATGATCCGCCATTGTTCACCCCCTTGGTCTTGGCTGAAGAGCGCCGCAACGCGCTTGGACTGTACAAGGGCAAGTGCCTCAACTGCTTAGGAGAAGACCACTCCTTCAAATTTTGTAATCGTGGTTTCGTGAACGCCACCGGCTTGCTTAACAATGACATCAAGTTCTGTATGGAAAAAGACCCCACCCTTTGGGGTCGGTGGAGAAACGCATGACCTCGTATAGACGCCCTACAGGACGCAACCCACATCGAAATCACCCCTTAGGACGCGCCCGCCGCTCATCTGACACATTGAACACGAAACAGTCCTCACACACAGAGCACTCGTCGGACGCTCCCACTTCGACAAAAAGGGGCTGGAGGGGTAAGAAATGACAAGCCGATGGCGGAGTTCAGCCGGTACTACCGTCAACAGCAACCACCGTGCACCCTTTTAGAGTCTCCCAAGATGTTCGTGTACAGCCTATTTCTTTGGGTACTCCCCACGCTCCTCAATCACATCTAGCTTTTCGGCCCGCCTCCTCGTCGTCCGCCCCATCGCCTGCTGGTAATGGACATGACAGACCCATTTCGGCAGTACCGTAATGGTGTGGGCGACAGGGAGGTAAGACGTCGAGCGGTCCATCCCTGCTCACCTCGTCGTCTCGGGTTACAGAAGGAACAAGAACCTCGTCTTCTACTATTCGTCAAGACTCTCCTGGTGTTGTCAGCCGGGCCTCTTCTCGGATCGCACACGAGCCTTCTTCTACACTCGTCGGGAACCCCGTCGATCCTCCTCTCTTTCGCAGCTTTCGTTGTCTTCGACCGTCCGCTGCCCCCGTGTGACAGCACCTGATACGAATGCGTCTTCCTCTGCTGCCCACCACGTGCTGA